ACCCTTCCTCTGGATTGACATCCCCCCCCAACAACAGAATAAAACAAAACAAAAAAAGCACAAAACCCAGCAATCTCCTAGGGGTTACAAAAGAAATGAATGATGAGAAATGGATCGAAAGTGGTAATTTGTGTGAATATGTCATATCCTCATTTTTGTTTTGTGGTCCCAAGTGCAACAGATTTATGTCTGGATTTTTTGATTATTACAACACATATTTTTAGAAAGTAAAGACCTCGTACGCTGCTGCTTCTAAGCTTCTCCCTAGCAAAGCACTCCCGCGTTAGACTCTTGTTACTGCTTACGGGGGATGGTAGGTTGCCTCTGGCTGAGTGATCTGGAGCTTTCCCGGACTTGTGGGTTGTGATCTCAATCGCATGACTGCCCCACCTCTTTCCCTACTTCCACCGATGACTCATCTCTCAACTGTTCTCCCAGCATCCACAAAGTGAAGTAGTGGATTAAAGAAAAAAAAAATGAGAACAAGAAGTTATATGTGTGAGCTAACATGGCCTTTAGCCTTGCTGTGAATGTTCTCAGGTATTAATCTAAACTTCTCTCCAAAAAAGGACCATGGATCAAGTTTATAGCTGCTGTTTACGGTTCTGTGTTTGAGACTGCCTAGAACATGCCATACCTAAAGCTACAAAAAGAATATTTAAAAGGTTGACCAGAGCTGAAGTAGAGCTGCCAATCCAAAAGAACGATGATGAAACTCAGCTTCAGAATGTGTTCCAAACTTTGGTAAAATCTGCTCTGTGAAACTTTCCTTTCTTTATAAGTCTACGTGTTTGCTTAGTGTACCAGAGATTATTGTTTTTATTAAACCAAGCTTTATTCAACAATGCTGTGTACCAGAGAGATTATAATCTATGAACGAAAAAACCAAAAAAACAAAACGTTAAAACACACACCAAAAAAACCAAACCAAACCAAAACAAAAAAACAAAGAAACACCAAAAAAAAAAAAAAAGAAAAGAAAACCAAAGTCATTATGCAGTTAAAGGAAAGGGCATAAAAGGCTCCTTTGGCGATCAAAAATGTGAAAAGAAACAGCTAGTAAAGTTGTGCTTTCCCGGAATACTTCCACTAATCATGTAAGGATTCATCAACCATTTCATCATAGGGGAAAGGCTGATCAATCAATTTATGACTGAACATCTGTGCTAGGAACCAATGAAATTGGCAATCCAGAAGACTCAGCAAGGGAGGGAGGAGTAGGGACTTTAAGAAGGAAGACTTGACAGGAAACGACAGATGTTGGCGAGGATGGGGAGAAAGGGGAACCCTCCTACACTATTGGTGGGAATGCAAGCTGGTGCAGCCACTCTGGAAAACAGTATGGAGGTTCCTCAAAAAGTTGAAAATAGAGCTACCCTATGACCCAGCAATTGCACTACTGGGTATTTACCCCAAAGATACAAATGTAGGTGATCCAAAGGGGTACATGCACCCCAGTGTTTATAGCAGCAATGTCCACAATAGCCAAACTAGGGAAAGAGCCAAGATGTCCATCAACAGATGAATGGATAAAGAAGATGTGGTGTGTGTACACACACAAACACACACACACAATGGAATATTATGCAGCCATCAAAAAACACGAAATCTTGCCATTTGCAATGACGTGGATGGAACTAGAGGGTATTATGCTAAGTGATATAAGTCAATCAGAGAAAGACAAGTATCATATGATCTCACTGATAGGAGGAATTTGAGAAACAAGACAGGATCCTAAGGGAAGGGAGGAAAAAAATGAGACAAGATGAAACCAGAGAGGGAGACAAACCATAAGAGACTCTTAATCTCAGGAAATAAACTGAGGGTTGCTGGAGTGGTGGGGGGTGGGAGGGATAGGGTGGCTGGTGATGGACATTGGGGAGGGTATGTGCTATGGTGAGCCCTGTGAATTGTGTAAGACTGCTGAATCACAGACCTGTACCCCTGAAACAAATAATATATGTTAAAAAAAAAAAAAGATAGTAGGAAGGGTAAAGTGAAGGGGGGGAAATCGGAGGGGGAGACGAACCATGAGAGACTATGGACTCTGAGAAACAAACTGAGGGTTTTAGAGGGGAGGAGGGTGGGTGGATGGGTTAGCCCAGTGATGGGTATTAAGGAATTAAGGAGGGCACGTATTGCATGGAGCACTGGGTGTTATATGCAAACAATAAATCACGGAACAATACATCAAAAACTAATGATGTCATGTATGGTGACTAACATAACAAAATTAAAAAAAAAAAAGGAAGACTTGAAGAGAAATCTTTCCAGTGAATCAGGACACCACTTAGTGTAAAACACGAGTTGGTTTTTCTCCTTCAGCCTGGCACTTCCTGCTAAACTTTTGGAAATTAGCCAGTGTTGTAATTAACACCTTCCTTCCCCCCCGGCAATATGTGCTTCTCTCAGTCATTGAAGAGAATATGATCCACATCTTTTTTGATGATGAGGTCACTGCAAATAACATGAAGCTCTTCATTCCTTCCTATAGGGCTGAGCATTTTAGGGAGTGTGCATGATGGCTGGACCTTCCTGGGCACAGATTAGGTTTCAGAATTTGCTGCCTCCCCCTCTTAAGTGGTGGAATCACCCAGGGTGGCCCCAGCTAAACAGTGCGGCAGGGGTGGTGGTGGCATTGCCATAGCTGGGCTCACCACCTCTGCTCTCTTGGTTCTCCCCAGAGACCTCATTTCTTCCACTGATAGACTCTCAGGATGTCACCAACATTTCTGTCCCCAAATCCAACCCTATCCTGTATAAATGAATAATTTTCACAACAAGAAAATGCTATTTTAGAGTATATAAATTTCTGTAGTTGACTCCAAAATGAATACGAATGTGCTCCTTTTGTCAGAAAATTCCATTATTCCAAATCACCAAAACGTTGTTCCCTTTACAAAGTATTTCCCACATCTGCCCATTTCAGCATGGACTAACAATGCATTCCTTCCTTCAGATCTTTGTCAAAACTTCAGCTCCTCTTTGATCCTCTGGATAGGTTGGTCCCCTCTGTCATGTACCCTCATGACACTGTCCATTTCCCTTTCTCACACCTGTTGCCCTTGTAATGGTGGTGCCTTCTCTCCACTGGGCTGCAAGCTGTGTGGACAGTGGGACGGGGTCCGTCTCGTGTGCCACCACGTCCTCAATGACAAGCGTAAGACCTGGTACCTATTGAGTTTGCAGTAAATACTTACGGAATGTTGCTAAGTGAACAACTTCAGTTTCCCTCGAAAATGGTTATCTTTAACACCTTTCAGTTCTAATTGACTTTACCAAAAATTGGTGCACCTACAAACTTCACAGGAACGAAGAACTGTGCAGTGATCGTAGTACCTCTATTTGTGTAGCACGGTGCAGTTTGCAGAGCTCTGTTTTCTCCATTATGTTGTTTGCTTCTCACAATCCCACTGTGAGCTAAGTAGGGTGGGTATTGCTGTCCTTATTTAAGGCATGAAAAAGGTGAAACTCGAGACAGTTTTCTACCTCTGTAAATGGTGAGCAAGGACTCACTTCCCGTACCCACTGCTAGCCCATGTCACCACCCTGCCTCATGGTTAGTAAACCCTTCCACCAGGGTTTTTCCCCTTCACTTCCAGAAACATCGTTAGACCCTTTTAATCCACTTCGTTTGCAGTTGGGTCAGTATTGTCTCTTTCTTCCCAAACGGTTTCACCAAACCACCGGCAGAGTTGAAATCAGGGGCCTGGTGACTGTCTAGCTCAGGATTCCACTCCACTAAATGTGGATTTCCCACCCTCACTCCCTGATAGATCTTACCAACAATAACAGTGTCATTTTCTGACCTTACACCGGTGCATGGCACCATGCCAGCACAGAAAGGGCCCTCAACGCAGTCTTTGTCAGGAGTGCATGCTAGTTCTCTGTCGTAGAGTGAGCTGAGAGACCATCTCCCACTGGAAGGTCCCATAGGAGTGTCAGCAAAAAGGTACCTTTTTTAAAGCTGAGTGACCATAGAGGACCCATGGTGGCTGACTTTACATTCATTAGTTCATGTGTTGCCTTCACCAGTCCTGTCACTTGTCCATGTTATGTTATTATGAGTTACAGCTGTTACTGAAATACAGTATGTCATCGTTACATTTTGGTTCTGTTTCAATGAACAAAGAGTAGAGGGCCAGGAGGCAAGTGCCAAAGCCTCTCCAGGCTCCTTTACTCTGGGGATCCTGGCCCAGGGAGCTGCTGAGGACTGTCATAGGTGTTGGGTATTTGAGTCACTGCCACATCCTCTGCAAGAAATTGCCTTGTCAGTTGCTACTTTACCCAAGTTTGGCTTGGTTAGGATTGATAAATGACTCCAACCCCTTTCTGTCTCTACTGAAAATTCTCCAGATACTCTTTTCACTCTCTATGAGAATTTTATAACCTGGAGCTTCTCTGTCATTTAAAATATAGTACGATCCTGTGGCAACATGGGATTCACATATAGAGTCGGGGTGTTGCATATCCTTATTATGCAGCATATCAGCAATATGTCTTATTTACAAAGTAGCTTCTACTGCCATTTTTAAATTAAGAGACTTGGATTGGTCTATTATTTGCAAGCGATTTCAAATGTAGATTAAACTTGATAAAAGTTTTTAGTAATTGCTAACATATTGATTACATTTAATGTATTGCACATATTTATTTTATAATTACAACTCAGAGTTAAATGAAACCTGCTTCCCATAGGGTCACATGCATTCTAATATTAATAAAGAACAGCCAAATAAGAATGATTTGGCTCCTAGAATGACAATATGAAAAAATCAAGTGTGAAGGGGATTAACTTACAGTACTTACACAACCTTGTAAAGACCATTTTTACTTCTGGAGGCGTAGGGGCTTTCTAAATGCAGTGTGGCAGCCATTTTAGTTTTAACCTTCCCTTCCTCATGCTAGGGAAGTACAGATTAACCATGTAATGGATGTATTTTTAGTGGAAAAGAAAATTGCCCTGATAATGAACCTCACATTTCTCTTGCTTTCAAGTAATAAACGACTGGTGGCCTTAGTGCCCATGCACAGTGACCCCCCGTTCAATACCCGAAGAGCCTACACCAGTGAGGATGAAGCCTGGAAGTCATATTTGGAGAATCCCCTGACGGCGGCCACCAAGGCGATGATGAGCATTAATGGTGATGAGGACAGTGCTGCTGCCCTGGGCCTGCTGTATGACTACTACAAGGTAGATCCTGCAGCCCCGCCTCCCTCCTCTGCCTGCCCCCAGAGACTCCCGTCCTCCTCCTCCTCCTCCTCCTCCCTCCCCCTCCTCCTCCTCCTCCTCCTCCATGGGAAGAGGGGAGAGAACAGAGTATTTCCACGCATGCTTTGGAATTCAGCCTGCTTCTGTTCTCGTTGCCTCCCTGCTCTCCCATCAATGGAGCACAACTTCACCACCCACCCAGAGGAAATTTTCATTTTGGGATCATTATTTCTGTGTCCTCTGTTCACATGCGTACATAGTGTCTCCATGTAATTCCTACTTCGTACTGTATTGCAAATACTTCCTTGCTGCCATTTTCACTTGATGATTTTTGGTGAATAAAAATATCACAGGGGCACCTGGCTGGCTCAGTCAGTAGAGCAAGTGACTCTTTGATTTCAGGGTTGAGAGTTTGAGCCCCATGTTGGGCGTAGAGATTACTTAAAAAAATTACATTGTGTGGCTATACCTTAATTTAGTCATCGCTCAGTTATTGGGCATTTAGGTTGCTTTTCAATTTCTCATTTTATAAGTACGTTCAGGATTTCTAGATTTCTATATTTTTTTAGTTTTATAAGGAACATTCCAATGAGTGTTTTGTGGTAGGCTTTTGCAGCAACTCCAAAACCTAATTTTGTTATAACCCTGTTTCCATTTGTTTTGATGGGTACTAAATATTTATTTTGAAAAACCTTTAAAACAAAATGAATGTTATTCACTTACATTACAAAAATACCTGCCATGCAATACCCTCAAAATAGGAGTATTTCGGGAAACCTAACGGGAAACAGTGGTCTGTCTCAGAAACGTATGACCTGCTCCCTTAGCACTGGTGAAGTGTAAAAAATCAACATGTATTTACTGAATGAGGAGATTTATTGCCAGCTTTGATTGTAAACACTGCTGGCTTATGCTGGGAATTGGCACAGAGGTGAGAATGGCTGTGTTTATTTTGCTGGTTGGGCCCAGTGAACATTTTATTTTAGAATAAGCACTGAGTCCTCACCTTCCCCCTCTCTCCATCATGAGATCACCCAAGAGGAACAATTCTTTTAATATAAGCTTTAGTCTCTTCTTCCAGTTTTCCTCTCTCTTTCCTGCTTTCTCTATCCTTCCAGCAGTCTCCATGTTTGCAAGTCGTGTTGTTTCCTGTCTTGCTCCTAAACCAGAGTTTTCATACTTTCCAGAGATCTCCTACCATTAATGTGACCCTGATGTAAACCACTTGGGTCATGACAACTTCCCTTTGTGGCTTTTATAACTATATTAAACTAATATGTTAGGTGATAGTTTTGTGAGGCATTAAAGAAACATATCAAGATATATTTTGAAGACATGTATTTTTCTAATTTTTTAAAAATAGATTTTATTCCATCACTGTGAAATGGACATCATTTCAGGTATCTGTATTAGATGGCAATTCTTCTGTATTAATGAAAAGAGAAGTATATCTCAAAGCAAAATACTTGGTAACATATGAAAGCCATGTATTTTATTTCCCATAGGTTCAGAGGATAATTATTAGTAAATATGGTACCTAGTTACCGTTCCTCTTGCATATTTTTGATATTTAAAGGGAAGATGAAATATTGCTATCTGTAAATATGTTGAGATGCAGAATAGGGAATTTATATACAACTAAATTTGTTGCCAAGTCTATAACTCTTTCTGTTGAATTAATATTTTTCAGGGTTAATTTATTAATTTAAGATATAAAATATTTAAATAAAATGTTTCCTGAGACTGTGTGAACAAGTAGAGTTACATGGCTCCTTTTATTCCACACAAACTTTATTATATTTTTGCTTGAAACATTTTAAACATTAAAGAATTAGTCTTGTTTCCCAAAACTGTGTGCAAATGGTCATTTTCAGGCCTTAGATCTCTGACATTCATGCCTTACATATGATGGTATTAAAGTTTCAACAAAGTTAAATCTACTTTGAGAATAGACCTTTCTGTATGAAGTAAAATATTAATGAAAAAAGAGATTCTATTTTTTGAGTCTGCGTTGGGAAGTTAAATTATTGTAACAATTACTGCCATATTATCACTTAAATTCTATAGATTTTTTATACCTCTTTGGAAGTGCTAAATACACCATTTTTCCTCGCTCCTAAGGTTGGACTACATCGCCCCTCAGGGGACGGTAGTAGGCTCTGTTAGAGAGAGGAGAGTGTGATGCACAGTAGGCACTCAAGAAATGGCCACCTCTGTCCTTGGAAACTGCAAAGGCTTATCTTGGTATCATACTTCATACCTTTCAAAGTCGTTTCATGTACATTTTTAAATTGTCACCACAGGAACACTGCAATGAAACCCATCAGGTTTTATATTTTATAATTCAGGCCACTAAGTGGGATTTCCTCAAGGTCACAAGACAATCCTGTACAATTCCTAATTCCATTCCATTATTCTGTCTGTTATTAGTCTGCAGGGCTGCCATAACAGAATACCACAGACCGGGGGGCTTAAACAGCAGAAATTTATTTTCTCACAGTTCTGGAGGCTGGAAGTCCAAGATCCGGGTACTGGCAGGGTTGTTTTCCAGTGAGGCCTCTCTTCCTTCCTGCCTTGCAGGTGGCTGTCTTCTGGCTGTGTCCTCAAATGTGTGGGTGTATACTTCTCTCTGTGTGTATACCCCACTGTTATGATCTCATTTAATCTTAATTACCTCCTGAAAGGCCCTATCTCCAAGTACAGTCACACTGGGGGTTAGGGCTTCAACACATGAACTTTGCTGGGACACAATTCAGTTCATAACCTGTCCACCATTAGAAATTGCCCTTTCTGAACCCTCATTTAAAGATGGGTTCAAATTTTTAAAAATCCAAAGCACATTAAATGGGATCTATTAAAAATAACCAAATTGCTAGAATTCTCAAAATTTAGGGACTCAGATATAAGCCCGGTTTTCTATCCAATTCAAGCTACTTATCAATAGCAGCTCCAAAGTCAAGTATGAACTTTTGATGAATTTCAGGCATGACAGAAAACCAGAACGAATTCCATTAGTTAGTGAATTTTAGAAGTGGTTTGACTCACTTTATCTTACTTCCTTTTCCCCTGAGGGAGCTGGTGGTTCATTATCATTTGATTCTAGTTCTATGAAAATATGCTTCTTTGGCTAATTGGTTCCCATCTGTTCTGTTGACCATGTAGTGCTGGAAACCAGTTTGTTGGTTTGCTTGTTTGTCCATTTATATAGCCATCTATTTATCTGTCTGTCTATCTGTATATCCATTTGTCCATCCATCCATCCAACAAATACTCACTAATCAGCTGTGACTGTCCAGCAATGGTGATAGATATGGAGGTGGAATGGATATCCAAAGGCAGAGAGGACACTTTGATGGCTCTGCTGAGAGAAGGAGCATTGCGTGTTTGAGATACAGTGTGACTATATGCATGGCAGTGATGGGGTCTGCCAAAGTTGAGGTAGGAGGTTTTTGGTGCCATGTTTTCAAGAAATGGAAAGCATTGAAGAATTTCAAGTACGAGCATAATGAGATTAGACTTGCATTTTTAAGTTCAGTCTGAATCTTCTTAATGGATTCAGAATGGATTTGCTGGGACTAAGTGAAGGAGAAGAGAGACCAGTTGGGATGCAGTGCAGTAGCCCAGGCAAGAGATGTCAGAGGCTGAACCAGGAGGCAAACATACAGAGGGGAAATGGATAGATTTGAGTCATATGGGATTTAGCATAAATGTCTTCAAGATTCATATTAGAGCATGTATCAGAATTTCATTTTTAAGGCTGAATAATATTCTGTTGTATATATATACCACATTTGATGTATTCATTATCTGTAGATAGACATTTGGGTTGTTTCTAGCTTTTGGCTATTGTGAATAATGATGCTGTGAACGTTTATGTTTATCTGTCATCTTCAGTTGATAGTAGGAGCTATGTTTCATTCAGCTCATTTCCATCTAGCACTTAGCAGTGCCTGGCACATTGTAGACCCTCAACATTGACATGTGAACAAAAGACTTAAAATTGATTTATTTTATTCTTATTTAACAAATACTTATAAAGTACCAGATACTCCAAGTGCTTTGAAAAAAATTAACTCACTTAATTTTAGTAAAAGCACTGAGTCATAGGACTGCCCTTAAGCATGGTTTAGAGAGTTTAGTTAGTGTTAGAGCTGAGTTTCAAACCCAGACAATCAGGTCTAGGTCTTGACTGGTAGCTACCCTGCTATGCTGCCTCCCTCTTCCAGCTGACTGGGTTTGCATATGTATCCAGGTGAGTGGAAACTATAAGAATTTCTAGAAGAATCTAGAAGAGGGATGCTTCTCATAAAGGCTCTTTTATATCAACATAATGAAGGCTGCATTTGGGTGCAAAGGAGTTTGGCTAGCATGAAGGTGTGGAGATGTAGCAAAAAAACACAAAAATAAAAACAAACAAAACATCCAGCCAACCAGCCAACCACACAAACAAATCTAAACCTACTATTCATGTGTTTGAAACTATAGCAGAGATAAGCGAATGATCCGTGCTGCAGTAGGACGATTGGATGGTGGTCAGAAATGCAGCTGGTAGGGGTGTCTCTTTTCTCTAGTAGCACTTTTTCACTCATCTTTCAGGTAATGTGTTGGCATTGTGGTTGCAAAGACAATAATAAAAGTGCATTAGAAGAAAAATTGTGGAAGCAAGGCTAGAAGCTACGGAGGGGTGGTGGTTAAAGGATGGTCCAGGTATTAGATGCTCCTGTCCTGCTGCACAGTGCAGCCCCATGCCCAGTTTGCTCCCCTCTCTGTCAGCACCTGAAGTCCCTCATCAGAGTGGAGGGTCTGTCCCTGTTCTTTGAGAGGATGCTTCTTGTAAATCCAAGATGATCTCTCTCTGTTCCGGGGTCCAGTTTCACCCTCCACTCATGGTGCTCCTTTCCAACCTCATTCACTCGCATGGTGGGGTGGGCTTGGGGGTGGTCAGGTCCAGGCAGAGTTGCCTGTCAGCAGGTGCACAGCAGAACCATAATCATTATGGCCTTCTGTTTATCATCACCCCTTTGTGTCTGATCCACTGTCATTGCCAGTCATGCTACTCACCTTTAACCATCACCTGCCTATCGCAAATCTGCCACCTTTTCCCAGAGAACATTCCATTTCAGTTGCTTTGCTTATGCTGGTCTCTAGCTCTGCACTTAGTCACAGTTGCATCTGTGTAAGTTTGACTGATGGTTGGTGATATTTCTAGGTTCCTCGAGACAAGAGGCTGCTATCTGTAAGCAAAGCAAGTGACAGCCAAGAAGAGCAGGATAAAAGGTATGGTGTTATGTAAAGGAATATGCCTGGCTCCCCAAATAACTCTTTCTATGTTTTTGAAAACAACAGTATTAAACTAGTTTTTGTTCTTGAGAGGAAATGGGATCAAGAAGTTTAGCTTCTTCTGTCTGTCTTTTAGAGTCTGGACCAAAACTGGATCTCTCCGTAGGGAGAGCAAATTGCATATTTTGGTTATGCACCCAAAGGGTCATCAGCAGGCTCTTGATACACCCTCTTTCAAGAAGGCTGAAAAATCCTTGGTTAGAGGTGAAATGCTGGCAAGATAGCCTATTTAGGGCTGAACTTTTCTGATCAGTCCCATGGCTGGATAATTGTAATCAAGCCCTTGAGGGAGTGAGCCATGGAGAGATTGCTTTTGATGAGGGGCAGAGGAAGGAGGCTGGACTGTTTCTCACCCCGGAGGCAGCTGGAGGAGAGCCCTGAGTAACAGCAGACACCATGAGCGTGCAGGGGCAAGAAAGATGTTAGGAGATCTTTTTGTGACACCCCTTTCCTGCAATCCTGAATCAAGAACCAATTGAAAAACAAGACACAGACAGATTAAAATTAAAAAGGAAAAAAAAAAATCAGTTTTATTTCTGATTAAGCCAACAGAGAACGAGATTTTTGAATCCACAGTTTGCAACATGTCCATCCTGGTTTAGATATGTCTACTCACCCAATCTCAGGCAGGACTCCAGTCCTCCCTGAAGGGACAGGCCACTGTGGTATGGCAGCGGTGACTAGAGTCCTTTCTCTTTGGCCAGGATGATCCAGACCTAAGGAGGGCACCAGAAGGGACTGAACCACCTTACTTAGCTACTTGTCCCAAACCCATCAATCAAATCTGTCTCCTTCCTGCAGAGGAATGGAGAGAAGCCACAGTGTTTTCCTATTGGTGATTCTTTCATATGGAAATATGAAGCCAGGAGAAATGAAATACCCTGCTAGCACGTACATCAGACTCTTAACCTGGCCTTGAGAGGAACTACTTACGACATTATGATCTTGTTATATGACTAGCAGCGAGCCACCCCACCAGCCAGCAGCCCTGGGCTGTGCATCACCTCCAGAGTATACCCTCAGTGAAGATTAAGCCTGTCTGCATCTGATTTGCAGTTTCAAAGGGATCTTGTGATGCTCCACACTGTCTTGGGGCCCTGGGGCCCTAGTTGGTAGCAGTGATGACAGGGAGAAAGAGCCTGGCACTCTTCAGGTCCTGTGACTTCACCTCCATTTTAGCCAGCATTTATTAAGCTAAGCATGTGCTGTCTGCTAAGTCGTATACTAGTAATCATAGAAGGGTCAGGGGAAAACATGTTTAAGATATGTGCTCTGCTGTCTGCATCATAATGGACAAGAGAGACCATTTTTTTGTTAACACATTTTTTAGAACAACATGAAAGAGTGATAGCCCCTCATCATATTTCAGTGGTTATTTTTGTGATTTCAGTGGAACACCTTCAAAAATACTGGCAGTGAGATATAGACAAAACCACCTTGTATAGACTAATTTTGACTTAGTAGACTTCTGGTTGAATGTAATTTGGAAGGATATCATTTGATCTGCAGTATATTCATGAATTAAGGTGCCATGTGCTAGCATACTATCATTACAACTGTCTGTTTATAGCAGTTGGTACTTGGAAAAATAACTGAAAATCTCAATGGCGTGATTGAGATTTTTTTTTAAAAGTATTCAGTTCAATTTTAAATTCTATTGCAGGTGAGTCAGTAGCTCTCAGTAATTCTTACTTTGTTCTGATCATCCATTTTTTGGATGTCTTTCTGAAGTTCTCTAGCTTCTAAAACTACTGCAGGCGGGTACATATTATAGAATGATGTTGCATCTAATATTCCCTCATCATAAGATAATGATGAATGGACTAGGTTTATACAACTCCGTAGTTCACTTATGTTTGTTTATAAGAGTGCCCCAAATATTTTTACTTGTGTTTCTTGTTTAGAATTCATGTGTTTTGCATGAATGAAAGAATTAATAAATTTGGCCTGAAATGGACTCTAACTGTAGAGGAGTTGGTTAACTTTGAGTATTTTGGCAAAGGCAGTAAGTCTTTGTGCCACGTCCAGAGGAGTGGAAACTGGACACTTGCTTTGGTAGCTAATCAATGTAGACCAGCCCCTCTTATATCCAACCTACAAGACATTATCTGCAAATATTAATAGTTAATCCTCCACAAAAGAGTCTGGGGTAAAATTAGTTTGGGAAATTCTGGGTTATAATTAAGCAGGTGAAGGAATGCCTGGGGGCCTTTACTGTGTTCATGATGTTTATGGCTCACACAGGCTAGTTTTGTTATGGCAATTTTTAAAAAAATACTGATTTTATCACGGACTCCTTTCTTTGAGGAACATCTATTAACATTCCATGCAATGCTCTAAACAGTGGAGTTTAGGAAATGCTGACATAAATGGGTGGTCTGGGTTTGGCATCATCTAGCTAACTGGACTCAGATTAAACGTAACTTCTAAATTTTCGCTGTATCTTATATACAGAGTCACTGTATTGCTATGACCATGAAAGCAGGTTATTACTTAAAGCAGAATATTTGTAGACTTGCAGTTTTATTCTTTAAAGGATTACTTTCTAGAATGATTTCTACAAATTTGTGACAGACTCCAAGAAGTTTAGGTATTTTTCTGTTGGCTTTATTCATGTGAAACCATTCTTTCCTCAAGCTTCATTCAGTTTGAGGTTTTGTCTGAGAAATCAAAGCTAAACTTACATAGTCCTGCTTGAGAGTTAGGCATGCTTAGAGGAGCTAGGAGAGCTTTATTCTGGGAAGAACCAATTTTATTCAAATATTTCTCTTTCTATGAGAGATGCCAGTTAGCCCCAGAAAGATCATGCTAGTTTAAGAGGGAAAAAAAACAGAATGAAACCCAAAACAACAGATACTGGGGACAGGGCTCCATGCAAAATATGTATTTCTTTTTGTCCATATCATTCAGAATAATCCATATATAAGTGAGAGGTGACCCCAAATTTAACTGACCACAGGGGCGTTGCTAGTAAAATCATGGTGCTATTAACCATACTCTTCCATTGTCTAATTTTTCTTTGCTTCTGCTCTCTCCCAGAATTCTGTAGTAGAAATAGAAAGCATTTTATCCCAGCCTGGCGAGAATTAATTTTCCAAACCCTCTCCTTTCTCTTTGTACCAGCCAGGAGGTCTGAGATCTGAGAGATCTTGTTTTACATAAGTCCAGTTACACCACTCCCTCAAGCCCCAAAAGTAATTCAGTGCTAAGGATATCAATGAGCTCATGTTGTTTCTCAATTCAGTGAAAACATTTTAATGATAAATTCTCATTGCCTTTTTTTTCTTGCAAGGAGTTTCGCCCACAGAACAGTGTAAAATATTCTTCCCACTGCCCCCCTTCAAATTATTGTCTCGCCCTATATGTCTCGCCCCCATCTTTTTCAAAAAGCTCTTTTGTAACTTTTTCCTTTGAAAGTTTTCAAACACATCCAGGAGTAAAGAGGACAGTATAATGAACCCCCAAATACCTGTCCAATTCTCCTGGTTCAGCAATGGTAACTTTTTGTTACACCTGCTTAATCTCTACCTTTTCTCTCTTTCCCTTCTTTTTTTTTTTTATTGCAGTGATCTTTAAAATAAGTTCCTGACATCATGTCATTTCATCTCTAACTACTTCTCATTTGTATCTCTAAATAAAAAGGATGTTTTATTATATAATCTCAAAATCATTATCACACCTACCTAAATGAACAATACTTCCTTAATATCACCTAACTCCCAGTCCATATTCAATTGCCTCAAAAATCCTATTGTCTCATAAATGCCTCTTTGGTTTTTCAGATCAGGATCCACACAAGATCTACTCATTTGATTGTTATGTCTTTCAAATCTTTTAATCTAGAACAAGCGTCCCACCCTCCTTTCTTTTTTTCATGCCTCTAACTTACTGAAGAAACCAGGTCAGTAAGATGTGCTACATTCTGTTTGTATGCTTGTTTCCTTTTGATGTTGTTTGAGTCATTCTTCCAGCCTTCTGTATTTCCTGAGAGCTGGGAGTTAGATATGAAGCCTTGCTAAATTTAGGGTCAACTTTTTTTTTTTTCCTAATTGTACTTTATAGGCAGGCTGATTGCATGGTACTGGGAAACACATGTCCTACTTCTAGTGATGCAGAGATCCACTGCATTCCCTTGTAAATTTCACCATCAACTTTTCCCCTAATGGCATTAACATCCACTGATATTGCTTGCATCAGTTATTTTATTAGGATTTGAAAAATAATGATTTTTCTAATTCTGTTATGTTGTGTCGGGGGGTGGGTTTCAACATGCAGAAACTGTCTTGGCACCAGTGAAGCCCAGAGTAATTTGAGTGGAGGAGAAAACCGAGTGCAGGTCCTAAAGACTGTTCCAGTGAACCTTTCCCTAAATCAAGACCACCTGGAGAATTCGAAACGGGAACAGTACAGCACAAACATCTCTGAGAGCCCAGCCATCATCCCCGTATCAGGAATCACAGTGGTGAAAGCTGAAGATTTTACACCCGTTTTCATGGCCCCACCCGTGCACTATCCCCGGGGAGACGGTGAGGAGCAACGTGTGGTTATCTTTGAACAGACTCAATATGGCATGCCCTCCATGGCCAGCCACAGCACCTACCTCAAGGATGACCAGCGCAGCACCCCAGACAGCACTTACAGCGAGAGCTTCAAGGATGGAACCACAGAGGTGAGTCCCTGGCCCCGTCATCTGCAGCCAGGACCTAAACCCAGAAACCCCAGCTAATTTTGTTTCTGTTTGCTTTTTAAGGCGGACAAATTAATTAATCTGTGAGCTTGGGGTTTAAAAAATGTGTCGGTATCTTTATAAAAAGGTTTTAATAAATCTTTGGTCTATGTGTATTGAGGAATATTTCTATTTTTCTTGACTCCTGGGCGCCTGGATGACTTAGTTAAATGTCCAACTTGTGATTTCAGCTCAGGTCATGATCTCAGGGTTGTTAGATTGAACCCTGTGTCGGGCTCCACGCTGGATGTGGAACCTGCGAAAGATTCTCTCCTCCCTCTGCCCCTTCTCCCCACCCTGCTTGCATGCTCTCTCTCTCTCAAAAAATAAAATAAAATAAATAAAATTAAATTTTTTCTTGATCCTTAAATGACATTTCTTTGTTTTAGTTTTAGTCTTAAAATTAAATATTTATGAGGAATGAGGAGATGTTTGTGTGGAAACTTCCTACTTTGTGAAGTTTTCACTTTGACCTCTTCTAGTTTATTACCTTTCAAGTGGTAGCTAAAGATGTTGACTGTGCATTTTTTGAAACAATGTAACTCTTTAAGACCTAGTCTGAATACTCAAGCAAGAATTTGTATTATCAATAATCAACTGTTGTATGTATGTACATTTTATACTTTACAGATAGAGATCATGTATTCTTTTCATGTGCCTGTAGAACTTACACAAACAAGGTTCTCGGATTGCTTGTTTTATTTTTTAATTTTTAAATTTTTTAAAAGATTTATTTATTTACTTTAAAGAGGGAGGAGAGGGACATAGGGAGAGAGAGAATCTCAAGCAGATTCCACACTCGCTCAATCACATGACCCTGAGATCATGACCTCAGCTGAAACCAAGACACTTAACCAACTGAGCCACCCAGGCACCCCTTGCTTGTTTGTTTTAAGTTCACAAGTTTTAAGTGAAGTTTGAGTATTTCGGTAATTGTATACAACATCAGAATCAATAGAAATTTCCCTCACCCTAAAAGTTTTCTTGAGCCCCCTAGCTTTGAAACCTCCTCTTTCTTGCTCTGGGTAAGCACCAATCTGCCTTCTGTCTATAGTTTCACTTTTTCGAGATTCTGTTTTGTTGCTTGTATTAAAAGATTGTTTTGTTGACTTGCTAAATAGTATTTCATGGTAAGCATATATCACAGTTTGTTGATCTGTTCACCAGTTAATGGACAGATTTGGCTGTTGCGGTCTTTTGAATAATGCTGCTGTGAACGTTCACGTGGATGCTTTCACGTGGACATGTGCTTTCGTTTCCTGGGTAAATACCTACGATTGGAATTGTAGGGTCATATGGTAAATGTGTGTGTAACTTTGTAAGATACTGCCGTACAGTGTTTCAAGTGGCCATGCCATTTTCCTTCCCACCAGCAGTGTGTGAGGGTTTCAGTTTTCCTCATCCTTGCCCAAACTTGGGGCTGTCAATCTCTTTAACAGGAGCTATTTTAGTAGATATGTGATGGTGTCTCGTGGTTTGAATTTGCTTTTCTCCAATGTGTAGTGATGTTGAACATCATTTCATGTGTCATAATTGGCCATTCTTATAACTTCTTTTGTGAAATGTCTGTTGAAATATTTTGCCCAATTTTTAAATTGGGTTATCTGTCTCCTTTAGTTAAGTTGTTAAGAGTTCCTTAAATAATGTGAGGTCAGTTACATGTTTCACAGTCTTTTGTTTTTTTAACTATGTCTTTCAAAGAGCATCCGTATTTAATCTTGATGAAGTACACTTAATCAAGTTTTTCTTTTATAGTTGATGCTTTTGATGTACTGTTTAAGAAATCTTGGTCCAGCCCAGTGTCACAAAGATTTTTCTCTAGCTTTTTTTCCCTAGGCTTTTAATAGTTTTACCTCTTACATATAGGTTTATGATCTGTCTTGAGCTAACTTTTGTAATGGCATAAGGGAAGGGTTGAGGTCCATTTTTTTTTTTTTTTTGGTCATATCTATATCCAGTTGTTCCAGCACCACTTGTTAGAAAGACAGTCTTGTCTCCATTTAGTTGTCTTGGGATCTTTGTAGAACTGGTGTAATTGTGGATTAGTTCTTCAATTTTTGACCCAGAATATTTAATGCATTTTTTTTTTAATTGGTTCAGGTCAGCCTCTTTGACATTTAGGAGCAGTGCTTCTATGTTTGAGATGATGGTCATGGGCTTCCCATTTTTCAGTCCACCCAGGACAATAAAAGACAATAGCAAAAGGCAAAACTCGTGGTTTCTAATTTCCTAAAGAGGAGTTAGTGTGGTGGCAGCGTGCCAAATACTTACACCCTGCTGCCCACTTATTTTGCCATTGGGACAGAATGCAGCTACCTGAGATTGAGATTGCATCCCAAATAACAATATTTAAAAATAATAAACATTTGGGGACCTTACTTACTATAGGCTGGGCATGATTCCGAGTGAAATATACTCGTTTCATCCTCGCAGAAACCCTACGAGGTATGTACTGTTTCTGTCATCTCTATTTTCCAAATGAGGAAACTGAGGCACAGAGAGCCTGCTGATGCCCATGGTCACACTGCAGTAAGTGGCAGAGATGGGACTCATCACAAGCTCTCCAGCCCGGGACCAATATCCTTCCCCGTTACCTCTACTCTCTCATAGAAGACTGTGCGGGGTCTTCTAATCCTCAGTAGTTCCGTTCCTAAACACAGTGAGTGACTCACCCAAACTTTTTTTTTTTTTTAAACTGAGTGTCCTTTATCAATGTCATTAGATGTTTCTTATCTTTCAGATGGGGAGAAGAAGAGCAAAGGGACTGGCTGTCTGCAATGTTGGGGGAGAGTTAGATAGACAAGCTGCTCTGGCAGCTCCCTCTCTCCTGGTGCCAGCCATTCCTGAGCTCCTGCTCTAGTTTCTGAAACAGGGAAAAAGCAGAGTGAGGCAAGACGAATTCCCTGCCCTTAAGAGGCTGCCTTATTTCTTGGGTACTGGTAGCTTTCTAATCAAACTTTTCATGTCCTTGTAATAAAAATGTTGTCTTAAACTTAGCTTCCTGGGCCATATTGCTTGAAATAGTTAATAGTTGGAGCGCTTCTGTAGGAAAAGCAAGTTACTCCACATGGGAATGTGAGACGCATGCTTTTTCACTAAAAGTTTGCCACTGATGTTTTTCTCACCAGGTGTGGAAATAGTCCATTAGTCACAGAAGAGCCCATGGATGTGGCCCAATGTCAACAGAACCATCATGCTGTTTGGGGGATGTGTTATCAGTTGTGTTTGTGTTGTAGATAAGGAGGCTTGTGAAAGGAAACTATTGTATTTTGGGTTTTATTTGGAAGTAGATGAGAAAGTAACTTACCAGAAACTCAATGTGAAGAGTGTTCTCACTAAATTTGGTTTAGCTGCCCTCCTAGCCTTGGAAATCACTGTTTACGTTGCATATTGTATTTAAATCTGACATAAATTAAATGGAATGATCTTTAGTCATGGCATTGCTAACCCGTATTAAGATTAGGTGAGCTCAGAGTAATTTCGCCAAGTAAATTTCACTAGGAAAATTTGTCTAAAATCTAGTACTTCTTTTAGGCAAACTATTAAAATGGCTAGGATTCTTGTTGAATTAGCAAATTTCGTTTTTTTATTTGAGAGAGAGCATCAATGCAGGGAGGGGCAGAGAGAGAAGGAAAGAGAGAGGGAGAGGGAGAGAAGCAGACTCCCTGCTGAGGGTAGAGACGCAGGGCCCAGTCCCACGACCTGAGACCATGACCTGAGCCAAAATCAAGAGTTGGACACCCAAATGACTGAGCCACCCAGGCATCCCAGCACATTTCATTTCTTATCAGAGACTGATTCTTCTGTATGTATGTATAGGTGGGTATCAGAGAAGGGAGCAGTTTGGCTCAACTCAGGCTGGGATTTTTTTTAAGACAGTGGTAGCATTAAAAAGTTCTTTAATGGATTGATTTTAGCTAATTGGATTTACATTTTATTGTCCATCCCCTTTGTAATAACATTTGGTAAATATTTACTTCTACTGGTGTTAGGAGGACAGAAGGAAGGATGCTTTGACTTTTGTCCTGTGGAAACTTACTATCTGTCTGTATTTGTAAAGAGAAATAATGATAGTTTCCATTTATTTTGTAGTGTTTGCCAGCCACCGTGGCTTACATATTTTATTTCTAATCCTTACTACAATTCCAAAAATGTGTTATGGTTTCCATTTTACTGATGAAAAGACAGAGGTTCAGAGAGGTTAAGAAACTTGCCAAAGGTCATACAGCTAATAAGCAAAAGAGTATAACTGATACATACAAATCAGGGAGGTATTAACACCTAGGATGTTTTTAGGAAACATGTAAAACTTAAGACATGGAAGGAAGAGTTTTTATAGAAAAATTATATAGTTGTAATAAGAATCAAAATGGAAGGAAGAGTTTTCTTATTCTGTACTAAAATTTGGTTAAGTTAACATTAGTCTACCTAGCTGTATGAATAAAGGAACACCAAAATCTCAGTGATTTAATACACTGAAAGTTTATTTCTTTTTAATAATAATCCTGATACATGTCTGTAGACCTCTTTTCTTATTAATGACTCAGGAATCCAGATTCCCTCCATTTTGTGACATTGCCATCTCTATATGTGGCTTCTGGGTCACCCCTGCTGGGGAAGTGCGATCCTAAGACTTCAGACTGACTTGTAAATACTTTGACCTGGAAGTGACCTGTATCACTCTTGCTCATATTTCATTGGCTAGAACTAGTCAGATGGTCTTAACTAACTGCAAGAGGGCTGAGAAATTTAGTCCTGTTGTGTACTCAGGAATAAGAAGAACTGTATATGGGCAAACACCAGATATTTCTACCATGTATTTCGTAATTCAACCCCTGGTATATTATTTGTCAAATTAACATAGTTTGCAGAGAATCCTGAAATGAAAGCAAAGAATGAGTATTTGTCATACTCAATAGGCATATGATTGATTTTATATTCAT